AAACAGACTAAAAAAACACTTCTTTCGTAAAAGATTCAAAACAAACATCAAAGTGTCATTTTTGTCCGCTCGGACTCTTAATCAAGAAAAACCCTTTCATAAGGTAATAAAAAAACCAGTCAGACAAGCTTGTGTCTTCCGTAGCCCGAACTACGTTTGCTCTGATGTTTCATGCTGTATGAAAGTACATAGGCATAGGATGCGATATCCTAGCGAGCAACCTTCCCCTCCTTTCCCGTAGGTAGGCGAACTACGTTGACTCTGATTTCTCATTCCAGACGGGAATACGTAGGCATAAAGTGCGATACTTTGCCGAGTCATTTTCTTTTCTTTTTAACCCAGACCCGTAGAGTAGATAGAATAACATACCCTTAGATAGAAAACAAGCGTGGATCCCGTCGAGTACGACGGACGTGAGGGTTGCTAATACCTTCTCCTTGCGTAAACGACTCCCGAATCCAGGATTTGGTTGCGATGACCATTTCTTTCCCTCTTTGCGTTAGGTTTACTCTGAGTGTTTCCTTTCCCTTTTGTGGGATAAATAACGCACGGTGGTGACTCTTCTGTCATAGCCGGCGCCGATTTTCGCAGTAGTGACAGTGTCGACTGGAGTGGGTGATGGTTTGCAAGAGGACATGCCTGCTCGTTCTATAATTTCCTCTGCATATTTTCTTTGAGACAAGAAAAGACCACCTGTATGATTGGTGACAGATATTCCCAGAAAATAACTTAGAGGACCGAAATCCTTCATGGTGAATTCAGAACTAAGTTTAGGCATAATAGAGTCACGAAGAGCATCACACGAAGCAATGAGAATTATGTCATCCATATATAGAAGGATATAAGTAGTATCAATACCGCGATGAAAAACGAATAAGGAATGATCAGAGATGCTGTGAGAGAAACCTAATGTGGCAACATAATCAGTGAATCTTTGATATCAGGCATGAGGTGCTTGTTTTAGACCATAGAGAGACTTTTTGAGTAGACAAACATGCTCAGGATATTGTGGACCGCAGAATGCAGGAGGCTGGTGCATATACACTGTTTCATCCAGATTTCCATGCAAATAGGCATTTTTGACATCTAGTTGGTGGAGACACCATGATTTGGATATTGCAATGCTAAGTACCATGCGAATAGTGGCCGGTTTGACGACAGGGCTGAAGGTTTCACCACAATCGACACCTGATTGTTGATTAGCACCATTACCTACAAGACGAGCTTTGTATCGCTCAAAAGACCCATCAGATTTCTTCTTGTGCCTGAAAATCCACAAACTCCGAATAACATTAGCATTAGAGGGACGAGGAACTAATTCCCATGTATTATTTTCAATAAGAGCATAATATTCGTCTTTCATGGCCATTTTCCAATTAGGATCTCTTAATGCATCAATTGGATTTGTAGGCAAAGGAGAGATTGATTGGTGGGTTGATGTGTGTAGGTTGAAAAGCTTACGGGGTTTTACAATTCCGTGTTGTGACCGGGTTGTCATTTGAGGTGAATGAGGTGCAGGAGGGGAAATGGGTGTCAGAATAGGTGCAGAGGAGGTGGTAGGTGTTATTTTTGTAGATGAAGTTATGGTTTGGGAGGGAGAATGTGTTTGAGCCGTGGATGTAGTTTGTTGGACCGAGGGGGTTGTTGAGAGGGGAGAGGTTGTCTGATGCGTGGTTGGAGGGGGAGGAGTTTGTTGTGCTGCTGGTGATGGCGGTTGGGTGACAATTATGTTGGGAGAGGGGGCTGCTGGAGATGTGGTGTACAAGTGTGAGGGAAGAAGGTGGATTATGCCGTCATCTAAGAAGTTATAGTTAGTCGTTGCAGGAGCATTCATGGTGGAAAAGGGAAACGTATTTTCCTAAAAAATGACATGCCGAGAAATAATAATTTTATGACTTGACAATTCGTAACATTTATAACCTATGTGATTAGACGAATATCCTAGAAAGACACATGGTGTAGACCGAGGTTGGAGTTTATCCCTAGTGGTGGATGAAATTAAGGGATAACAAAGACATCCAAATACTCGGAGGTGTGAATAGGACGAATCTTTTTGGTAGAGAATTTTGGTGGGTGATTGGAGAGTGAGTTTCTTATTTGGAAGTATGTTGTGTAGGTAAGTGGCCATTTGGAGAGCATGGTGCCAGAAAACCGGTAGAATAGAAGCATGAGCAAGGAGGGTTCGGATTATATTATTGATTGTACGAATTTTTCTTTCGGCTTTTCCATTTTGTGGGGAGGTATGAGGACAAGAGAATCGAAAAGACATTCCATTTTGTTCATAAAACTTATGAAAGAGAGCATTATCGTATTCCTTTCCATTGTCATATTGAAAACATTTTATTTCACGTTCAAATTGTGTTTTAACGTGAGCACGGAATTGTAAGAAAATGGAATGTACTTGTGATTTGTTTGACACTGGAAAAGTCCACAAAAAATTAGTAAAATCATCAAGAAATAAAACATAGTAACGATGCCCTCCGGAGCTTAATACCGGAGACGTCCAAAGATCGCTATGAACAATGTCAAAAGGCATACAAGTAAATGATAAGGAATTATAAAAGGGCAATTTTATTTGTTTCCCAAGTGGACAAGAGTGACAAAAGAAATCATTTCGAAACTTGTTACATAGCAAAAGTTTGTTTCAATGAAGAGAATTTAAGATAGGAGCTCCTGGATGTCCTAAACGACTATGCCATGACTCGTTAGATGAAGCAGCAAAGGCGGATGGTGGTAGTGCTGTTGTGTTTGGTTTTGTGGGAATAGGGTAGAGGTCGCCAGAACTATTACATCTCATTAAAAGTGTTCCTGTCTGAAAATCCTTTACAGAAAAACCGAGATAATCAAATTCAACAGAAACATCATTATCGATTGTAAATTTTCTGACAGAAACAAGGTTTTTGATAAGTTTCGGTGCATGCAAAACATTGTTTAAGGTTAGGGAATTGGGTAAAGATGCATGACCACAACCAATTACAGGTATATGATAACCACTGCCAATAGTAATATTATTACTCATATTAAAATAAGATGTGAGATTACCTCCATTGCCCGTCATATGAGAAGTCGCTCCACTGTCCATATACCATTGATCATCAGGAGGAGAGATGGAGAAAGTATGCATAGCAGCTTGGATGTCTGTCGGAGCATAAGAGGAGGAACTTTGCTGACTGTTCATATGAGGTGGAGCAGTTGCCATGTTAGCTTGCTGAGGTTTAGGACCGAGTATGCCTGATTATTGATGGGGAGAAACTGTTGTCGGATATGGATATGGTGGAGTGGCCCATGGCTGCCATGGATATGCCCACTGTTGCTGCTGTCTGGGATAAGTGGGAGTGGTCCACTGAGGTTGCTGATAGGGAGACTGACGCCACTGATGTGGCTGTGGATGGGAACGACCTCCACCACGACCATTGCTTCTGCTCCTGCCATGACCTCCACCGCGACCATTGCTTCGGCCACCACGACTAGCACCATTGTTGTTGCGATTATTATGCTGTTGAGATAGAGTGGTTGAGGCCGCGGTATCATCAAGAGATGATACGAAAGCAGAGTTGCTGCTAGAATTTGCTGCTTTCTTTGCTTTGGCTTTTTCTTCTAATATTATCATAGAACGAGCTTTGTAAAAAGGTGGAAGAGAGTCTCCATGACGGATTTGTGAATCCACCGTGGCATACGCATCTGTCAGACCAGAAATGAGTTGAAGAACAAGCCTTTCATTAGACACGGGAGCACCGACATTAGAGAGTTGATCAGATAGGAATTTGAGATGTTGACAATAGGTGGAGGCATCAGGAAATTGCTCCATATGAAGATTAAAAAATTCTTGCTCGAGGTAGAGAGCCCTAGAATTTTTATTGTCATAAAAAATGTTGAATAGCCCGTTCCATGCATTTTTTGCGGTTGAATCGCGCTCAATGATGGTGTGGAGAAGATCATCAGAAATTGTGCCATAAATCCATTGAAGAACTACAACATCAAGACGTGCCCAAAAAGTAGGATCAGTGTCTTTGAGATTAGAAGAGGATGTGGTTTCGGTTGGAATGATATGATCAATGACTTGGTGAACACGAGCATGGATTTTGAAGAGTTCAGACCAGGTGTTATATTGACCCTTTTCAATACTTAGGGTAATTTTGATAAAGTTGGTGATGTTAGAGATGGTGAATGCGAGATGAGTGGGAGGATTGGTATTCTGCGTGGCTTCAGAGTTTTTGGAGGGGGATGAATGTTTGGAGAGAAAGAAATTTGATGAGAGAAACGTGGGTGAAATGAGAGAAAGAGGAAGGTTGCGCAGCTGGTTATGTGAGAAGAGCGGTGGCGCAAGGATTAGGGTGTAGGATCAATACCTGATACTTACTGATACCATATTGGACTGATAGGCCTTACCTTTCTATTGATTTTGAATGATATATATACAACCAAGACTATTTAATGATAATAATAACAATGATATTCTAATATCAACATTTTCGTATATCATCATTTGTATTATGTGTGTATTTTTGGCCTTTTGATAATATGTAAACAAACTTACTGTATGATTACATTAATATCATAACTTGGTTATTATCTCCGAATAAGTTTGTTTTATTATTTTTTTAAATTTTCGTTGTTTTTATATAATCATTAAATACTAAAACTATTTATAATTAATTTAAAGAATATACGAAATATTTTTAAAAGAGTAGTTTATAATTTTAATCTAACATGTATCATGCCATGTCACTATGAAGTGTATCAAATATATGATATGATAAAATAATAACATTTTTTTCATGTTTCTATTACATTCTATCCTTATCCAACACCCAATCCTATCTTGTATTTTTTATATCATGTGCATAAAACATATTCTAGAAACTAAGAGTTAAATGGTAAAATACTTTTAGAATAACAACATATAAAAATATATATTATTTGACTATTTTATTAGCTTACATTGGAAATTCTAAATTACTCAGCCAAAAATTTCCTATGATTTATCCTATAAACCTTAACTATGTAAGATGATTTACTGACAAAAAAGCAACTTCACTAATAACAAAGATTTGATTGTTTCGAACATGGATTGGAGGATTATCAAACTTTTCTCTTTGAAGAGCTTTCTCACAAAACCCAGGTCCATTACCAGCAGCTTGTATATCATTTTTTGCACCTTGAGGATCCTTATCCAACTCATCCAATGCACTTTTGAATGCTGCAATAGTCTTAGGGTAGAATTGTTGTGCACATTGTTTAATAGCTTGATCATTGGGAAAGTCAGTCTCCACTTTGCCAAGATAAGCTTGAACTGATATTGATGTAGTTACTGCCAGATCCAAGATGAACTTTGAGAGATCATGATAATTTGTTGCAGAAGTGATTCTTGCGTCAGATTTCAAGAGAATCAAGCAATCATTCGCATCTTGCCTTGTCAACTTGCATAGAGTTTCATACAAAGGGACCGATAATGCTGGGGAAACAGCAAAAAGTATGAGAGACAAGCAAATGAAGAAAAATGATGATGAGGATAATGTGGTGAATTTCATTTTTCTAATGATAATATATCAACCTACACTTTTATATATATATATATATATATATATATATATATATATATATATATATATATATATATATATATATATATATATATATATATATATATATATATACTCTTTGCTAATTTTTCTTAAAAAAGGTATATAATAATAAATTAAAATCGACCAAAAAAAAGTTATCATAATACAGTACAATTTATTATTGGTGAATATTTTTTAATTATAAAATCGTAAATTTATTGTCAATAATTCAAATTAAATATTAGTTTAATTCTAACTTAATTATTAAATATTAAGTAGTGTGATATTCTATGATTGAGTGACAAAAAAAACTCATAATAAACCCAGTCAAATAGTAGATTTTATTATTATTAAAATAAAAATATTTAATCTATTTTTTTCAATTTTTTAATATATATATATATATATATATATATATATATATATATATATATATATATATATATATATATATGTGGGGATCATTTGACACTGACGTTAAATATTAATTTTGACACCAAATTCTACCCCTTTATCATTATTAATTCAATTGTTAAGATAAATTCCCTTAAAATATTTATGTGTTAGTTTTAATTGAATATATCCTAATCTTTGAGTTAATAATAATATACAGGTAGAATTTAGTGTCAACTGATCACACACGCACGCACGCGTGTACAAACACACAAGTTTCAAATTTAATTTTACTTTCTAGTTTACCAACAAGGATAACCATGTAGGCCCCTCCACTCTACCACAAGCCACGATCCACCATCATTGTTGTTCAAGATCACATATTTTTCAACTACATTCATTTTCGATTGTCGAACTAATTAGTGGCATCGTTTGTTGGAATCAACTTCTGATTCCTACGATTTTCATGATTTCACATTCTTTCCTAAACTTCATAGTCTATAACCTACTTCGATCAACGAATTGAAAGCATTTGCAATCAAGTGGAAGGATCTAACGCATCTTCACTTGTTCAAGCATAAAATCAATTGTGTTTTCTATTGTTTCCAGTTCCTCAGTTCTTTTAATTTTCGATGATGGCTGGATCTAAGGCTACTAGTGTTGTGATATAATTCATGTTGTGTAGCCCAAGTGAAAAGTTAATTAGGATTTAGGGTTTGTTACTTAGTAAACAAGTTAGTTGTATATAAATAAACATATTTTGTAATACAATTAGTACAATCATAATTCAATAATACAGTCCTTACTTTCTTACTCTCTTTCTTTTTCTTTCCTTATTAAAAGTGTCTCACACACTAAAAAATTAGTTTATAGAGGTCAAGTTAGATTCTTGATTGTGATTTCAAGAATCACACGTCGGTGATCGTGTTTCTGAGATCGTGGGTTATTAATCATTTATGCAAAGATGAATGATGCTAATGACATTTCGAATTCTCTTCCAATTCTTGACGAAAAAAATTGGAACCGATGGAGAAAGTAGATGAAGTCCTTGTTCGGCTTAGATAAAACCATAGAAGTGAATACAGATGACACCTCTAAGCTTGTTGAGAATGTAACTGGTTCTCAGCGAGCCACAAACAAGGAGGCAAATAAGAAAGACGTCAAGACTTCGTATTGCATTCAATCGGTGATAGATTTGGCGAATTTCGCCAAGATCTCTCATGCTGAATCGGCGAAGGAGACATGGAATATTCTTGTCAAGTACCACGAAGAAAGTGAAAAAGTCAAAGTCGTCAAATTATAGACTTTACAACGATAATATAAATTGTTGCAGATGGAAGAAGATGAAAAAGATTATAGGTTATAAGTTGAAGGTTTAAAATCTCGTCCATCTCATGAAGGGTTGTAGTGAAACTCTAATTGATAAGATGATAGTTTCTAAAGTGATTATTGAGTCAAATTTCAAGAGAATCAAGCTATCATTGGCTTCTTGCCTTGTCAACTTACATAAAGATTCATACAAGGGGACAAATAATGTTGGAGCAGTAGAAAAAAATATGAGGTACAAGCAAATGATGAAAAAATATGATGTGTATAAGATGGATTTCATTTTTCTAATGATATTGATTATCTTTAATAATATATCAACCAACAATTAGATCTATTTGTTGAGTTTGTAATTCCTTGTGTCGAAGCAGTGTAGCTCGACAAAAACAAGGATTAGTCAAATTAGCCTAATGTGTTAGTGTGTCGAGTTGCTTAGTGTGTCGAAGTGTCGAAGCAAATTGCTTCACACAGAATTTCGACTTAGGTCTATTTTAGTAATGTTAGCTATTTTGGGCTTTCATAGTTTTGGGCTTTGACTTGGGATGCAAGCAAACCTAAATCTATAAATAAGGAGAAACCCTTATTTTGTAAACAACTCATCATATTTTGTAATTCACAGTTTGCAGTTGCAAGTGAAATAACATAATTTCCACAATTTGTGGGCAGAGAGTTCTCTGCAGAAAAGTTGTTTATTTTCTTCTTCTCCAACGTTTACTTTCTTTCTTTTTAAACTTTTCTTTCATTGTCATTACGTGGATTGAAACAATCTTGAGATCAAGATTGATTGAGTGAAATTCTCTATAGATTGTGGTTGAATTTCCAACACTATTTATATAATTAATTCAAATATTGACCATACCACCATTTACTAATTTTCCTTAAAATTGTTGGTGTATAATAATAAATTAAAATGGAAAATAAATATTATTATAAAAATTATAATTTATTATTACTCAGAAAAATTTAGTTATTAGTTTTCTTTAAATTTTTTAATTTATTAGTTTCAACAGTTTGCAACAATTTAATCCACTAACAAATACCAATTGAATTGTTCCACACACACAAAAAAAAAAACAATTGAATTACTTCATACTCCTGTTTAATCATTTATATTAATAGTGTGATATTCTTTGATTGAGGACCATATAAAACCCATATAATATGACTTTAAAATATTTATATATTATTTTGATTAAATTAAGTATACTCAACTACAAAGTATTTAAAATTAACCTAGTCAAACAACAATTTTTTTAAAAATAAATTTAAATAAAAGTACTTTTAAAAATTTTCAAATTTGTATTACTTTTTTTGTTTGTTTGTTAAAACTAATCATTTTTAGATTAATTTTAAAAGGTTCTTATCGCTTATATATATATATATATATATATATATATATATATATATATATATATATATATATATATATATATATATATATATATATATATATATATATATATATATATATATATATATATATATATATATATATATATATATATATATATATATATATATATATATATATATATATATATATATATATATATATATATATATATATATATATATATATATATATATATATATATATATATATATATATATATATATATATATATATATATATATATATATATATATATATATACTAAAAAAGTATAACAGACCAGAGAGAATCCGCTCACATACAGGATGAAGGACTCTATGCATTTCTTTTTAGAATTTGTGAAAGATCTTTTTCAACTATGAGGTTGAGGGGAGAGGACGAGTCATCCCTTAAGTTCCTCTTGAATAGTGGGAGTAGTTGAAGAAATAGTTTTTCCTCCTTAAATGAAATAGTCGTTTCCTTCTTTCGCTTGGATTGTTTCCTTTCAAGACACTTCAGATACCACACTTTGACGAAGTGGGTGGATATAACATGCACATATTTGGATCGGGCGATCCATAGGACGCCCAAACCTAATAGGCAACTCATTATATATGCATCTGCCCTCTGCTCCACCACTTCATTGGGCCATCTTAGTCATGAGGTGTCCACTTATGAGCTTAGCAAAATTACCTTAGTACACAATCCCTCAAACACGAGGGCATGGAAAGGACAAGGTGATTTAATTCGAGCGCCTCCATTCTGCGAGTCAACCCCATAAGAGCTCTTTGAACACACCCTAGGGCGAATCCTTCATAAAAAAGAGTCTCTTGGGTGAGAATAAGATAGTCGAATCTTTCGAGTGAATCCTTCAATAAAGGTCCAACATATAGTTACCACATAGGGCGAAAAGGATATGTCAATAAAGGTACAACGTATAATAACCCCATAGGAAGACAAAGATCCTTAAATGAAGGTCTAACGTATAATTACCTCGTAGGGTGGCATCCTTCAGTGAAGATTTAATGTATAAGTAACCCGTATGAAAGAAAGGATCCTTCAATGAAGGTCCATCAGAGAATATTTTATTTGTCATTCAAGATTTCCATTGATGTGAGATAGTAGAATGTGTTATTAATAAATTCTGAAATAAGTTGTTTGAGTTAAATGCTTGATGTCAGCTACAACATAATGGGAAACTAGCTTAGTTCAATACTGCTCAGTTCAATATTGTGATTGATATAATCTACTAGCATACAATAGACATCCATCGATATCCAGTAGACAGATCATTAAGATTAATAACTTGACACTTTTACGTAAAAGTAAATTCACTAAAACCTAAGAAATGAAGATGCAAAAATTACATTACATTTGGTTAAGATATTATTTTCAAAACGAGTAGAAAACTTGTGCATCCGCGCAAATACGTTAAAGTAGATAAAGATTTAAACCTCACGAATATACAATGTTAAAAGTAGCAAGAAATTATATTTGAGAATAATAATGTTAATAATATAATATTAATATAGATGAAAATACAAAAAGTCAAAGTTATTTGAATATATCGAAATTGTGAATATTTTAGTACAATAGAGAATTGTATTGCACATATAATATGGAATTGAATTTCACCTCATGTAATTATAATAAGGTAATGTTGAAATAAAATGACCAAAAATAATTGCACAAAACATTTAAAGTAAATAAGTAATTAACTATAAATATATGGAATTCTACACAACATTACGGAAAACCTCTTTGAAGACAACATTTGTTGTTTGAGATGAAGGATTTTTGTCTTTGCCATGAATTAATATTTTGAGACTAGCTTTGCTCTTGACTCTTGACATTGCCACATAGAGTTGTCTGTGAC